GCTACAGGTTCCCAAACTGCTGCTAGTATCAAAAAAAGGCTTTTAGCTGTTCCTTCTGCCCCCATTCTTCACATAGTACAAGCATTCTCATGCAACCACAGAGCAAACTGCTTGAATCTGCAAGGGTACGGAGGAGGTGGTAGAGGCAGGTCACAAAACCCCAAGCACATCTACTTAAACTGATGGAGCAATGCCGTTGCCAGCAACGGCAGTTTGTGGCCTCAAGTGTGTCAGCTGGAATAAGCAGAGGTTTAATTGGAGGCCATAGCAGTGATCTAAAAAGACTGTGTGCACATACACTGTCTGCTCTGTTTCAGGAGGAGCAGCCATCACCATTAGGTGAGGCTGTTGCTGCTGTCTGAGCAGTCTGTCAGATTGCTCTGCTGATGCGAGCAGCGATGTCTGACTGCTGGTAAAAGGGTGGCAGTGACCTGCAGAGTCTTCCCCTGTCTTCTAGTGGTAGGCCCTTAGGAAACAGCTTTGAATCTGTTTAAAGTAACTGTTAGTCTTCTGGAAACAGTCCTTTAACATGAGTTAAAATTACAAATTTACAGGCTGTACCCCAGCTTTCAACTTTCTAGGCCTAAAAGGGCACTTGTGCTTCTCTCCCTTGTGTGAGCTCTGGTGCTTGCACTGCTGCAGAGTACTGTCAAGCAGTTAACACACTGATCAACACCAGGAACCTGGAGACATGCAAAGCAGCATCCCTAGTGGCATGGCAGTGCTGTCAAACGTGTGGTAGCTCAGAGGGACTCTCATTTTAACTGTCTACAGCAGGACTTGCAGCAAGGAAAGACCCTGGCTCTCTAGAATTGCAAGGTAGCACATCAGTGTGAATCCCTCTGCTCGTCTGCTGAACAGCCCTAAAAACCTGATGCAATGAGAACCCTCCCCAAGGAAGGAAGGTATACTTTGCTACGCTCCAGACAGCACTTGCCAGCTTGCTTATCAAGCCTCTATTAAAAAAAAAAAAAAAAGGAAGGGATGTTAAAAGCCACTCAAGTCAATCTGTTGGCTAAGATTATCTAAAGACTGGTAATTTGGGGTATGTGAAAGGGCCATCTTTCCCCCCTCATTAGCTGATGCTTATTTTTTCCCCCTATGATAGCACAGCTCAAGTGGGAGGATCCAGACTCCTATTATAATATGCTGACTATGTTTCCATCAGTCCAGCTCCCTTTAGTTGAACCTAAATTCAAAGGCAGAAGTCAGAGGTTGCAGGAGCTCGAAGACAAAGCTAAGCTGCAGCACTGATCCCATCCAGCCCAGAGGGACCATTTTTAATGAAGCTCTTACCATAGTTGTCAGCTTTGGTCATTAGTAAGTTTCTCTCTCTCTCCAGTGACTTTCTGTAATGAGAAGAGGAGTTCATTACCTGCAAGGCACAACACAGCCTATTTCTCTGCTTATATGATGGAAGAGAGACTGTCCCACTGATGCGGATATCTGCTCACAGAATGAGCCCCTCACCCTTCACTGTGGAAAGGTGACAGTTTAAAAACCCCCAGCTGTGCAAGAGAAGAGATGCAGCAGTTTTAGATTATTTTTTCCTTCTCCCAAACTGCTTCATATCTCTCCTTTCAGGACAGTGCTAGAAAGGGGTCTGTGTGTCAGAGCCCCCTACTCTGTTCCCTCAGGTGGGGTAGGAAGTTCTGGCACAGCCCAGGGACAGGGCAGGGTCCCCATGTGCTCTCTGCAGGGTCCTACCCCACCAGCACATCTGGCTTACTGCTGGCATGCTAATTCTTCTCACCAATTGAAGCTGGGATCCCTTTGTCAAAGGTATCCAATTTACTCAAATTGGTCAACTCAAGGAAACAAGCTGAATCCAAGCCCAGTAACAACCAGTTGAACAACCTGTTGTTGTCTAAGTCTCAGCATAACAACAATAAAGAGTTAAGTCAGTTAGGCCAAGCCAGCCCTTGTCTTAAAGGGCCAATAATTATGAGAGAAATTGAATCCCAGGAAATGTTAGTGTTCTCTAAAATTAGACATAACAATAAAGATACCCCTGAAAGTTTATTAAGGAGGGAAGAAGAAAAAAAAAAGCAATCAGAAGACAACTGAGAAAATTTATTTTAAGAATTCCAGATGAATTCTAAACAAAACCAGACACCTATGTGGCACTGAGGGCTCGTGCTCCCCACACTGGGCTTTTCTCTCAAGGAGCCTTTTTTCCCCAGACTTCAGCAATTCCTAATGCATTTTGGAAGGAAATACTCAAAAGATGCTTGTTTCCACCCTGGACCCAGCTGGAGGAGGGTGCCCATCGCTTCTGCAAGCAGATGGGGCACAAGGTAGTAGCAGGTCAGGATGCTAAGTCAGTTAGGCCAAGCCAGCCCTTGTCTTAAACTGCACACGATGATTAATTAATACACAGTTTAAAATACAAATGCAAAACAAATTGCCTGAAAGCAGCAGTGTTTCCATTACGGCAGTGAGGACATGGTCACTCCTTTCAGACTGCGTGCACAGAAATAAACATGCACTAACAAATTATCTCCTGGTTGAGAGCAGACAGAGAAGGCAGTAAGTGTAACAGAGGTTGTTGTTCCCCTTGAGGCAGAGCAAGAACCTGCAGGAGGAAAGAGAACCAAATCTATGTGTACAGCTAGGGATATAAGGGATGGCAAGAAGGCAAGCTACGTCAGAGCAGCGGGAGAGGAAAGGGCTCGGAAAGGCAACTGGGGAAAGGCAACGTGGAGTGCAGCCAGGAGGAAGGGAGAAGACAGATTTACCAACAGGACTGAGCTGCTACTGAGAAACTTGTTTTGTGATGATAGTCAAGGAAGAGGCTTTGAGAATGAGACATGAAGAAACCATGACAACTGAACTTCAGAATGGGAAAGCAGAGCTCTCCTTTGTGTACTACTCACTGAATCAATAATTTTGATCATGGTACCCTCCTCAAGGGTTTTTCAAATGGTCTGGATTAGGGCAACAGAATTTATGTTTCCATCTCCATACAAGTTGTAAAATTCAGAAAAGGCCCCAGGAATCCCTATTCCTAATTATTTGCTCTAGGACCTATATTTCAGAGGGAAATCATGCAGATATATTCCATCCTGTCATGCAACCACAACTGTAGGTTTGGTTGTTGGCCACCTAAGTACTGGATAAAGAATACAGACAGTAAACATAAGAAGAATTTAGGCCTAGAAAAGGACTGTTGAGCTGAGCAGCAAGACATATGAGGGACAGGAGACAAGACCCTGTCCAAATATGGATGGGGATATAAAACCCCAGTAAAGGGGAGGGCAGAGGGACAATGGAAAGGAGGAACAGAGAAGTTAAGCTGAGGTTGATAAGTATCAGGGTGTGGAGGCATCACCACTGCTAGATCATTTCTAACTGGGTTCTGTAGGACAGTGGAGCAGACATCAGGACCAACAGGACTGCTCCCTGGGCCCACAATTGAACTTCCCAACCTTTTTTGCTAGGAGCAGAGCAGTAGGGTGATGGTGACTAGAAGAATGTCCTCAAGCAGAGAGATGTGAGAATCAGCTGGGAGAAGTAGGATCTCTTGCTTCACAGTCTAGAGAAGCAGCAGGTTCTGCCTGTGTCTGCTACAAAATCTAGGTCAAAGTCCTTGCTTTAGTCCCAGTTCTAGAAGCCTACAGTTGCCTCTTCTATGTCAGTGCTACATTTCAGGGGAATTGTCCCTCTTCCCTTTCCCAGGGGAAGCCAGTGTGTCACTGCATCCCTACATCCAGACACATTTGCAACACAGGCACAGGCAGAGTAATTTCCTTCAGCCCCTTTTGCAGTTGCATCCCAGCCTGCTTTGACCCTCAGCGGTCATTGCTGCACATCTCCCCTGACTGAACTCAGGCACCTTCAGCAAGGCTTGAGTAGCAGTACGCAGCGAACCTTTGCCAGACTCACAGAGCTGTTTCCTAGCAGGCCAGGAGCCAGCTCTGCAAATGAACTGGCATGTTTCGGGCACTGCTTGGCTGGTTGTGGTGCAGGTTGGAGTGAGGCTGTTGATAAGATAAAGCTCTCTCCATGTATCACTGAACTTCTCACCCTGGCAAGTTCCCCAAGTGAGCTCCAAGCTGGGGGAAGAGAGTCTTGTCATGGGGAACCACACATTCCCACCCCTTCAAGAGCCCTTGCTCAGTACTACAGGAGGATGACAGCTAGCTGAAGCGCACAGCCATAGCTGTGAAAGGTGGTGGTCATCAATACCTTCCTTCAGGGCTGAGCTTCTCCCTGCGTAGTTTAAGATCCACCTCCTCCATGCTCTGTCTGCAACGTGCCAGCTTCTCCTCCAGTCCATCAATCTGAAAAACACCACACCACTCACCGTCATTTCTCTTCCCAGCTAACGTGGATCCATCCTCACTCAGATAGGATGGATAGCAGCAGTTGCTCCCCAAATCAAGGGAGGAACAGCCCCAGCTCTGTGGAGAGATCACGGCACAGAGAGCCCACCACCTCCCAGATCAGCCTGTATTATACCCCAGGCAACTGTGACACTGTAATTCCAGACACAGCCAAGCCAGCTCTGGCACTCCCAACTTGTGTGGCTGGCCAGCACCTTTTTGCTAAGATCTGATCCTGTTCCAGCCTTTTCTAGTTTCCCTGCATGTGGCTCCACAAGCAAAGATGTGATCTAAGGCATCTCTATGCAACTAATGAGGATAAAATGAGAGAGACTGGCTTTGGCCAAAGCCTGAGGGACAAGGTCTTGGTTTAGTGCTGCGAACAGCTGCAGAAGTTCATGGGATGTGACTACAAAGCACCCTCAGCTGTCCAGTTGGGTGAAGAGGGGACAAAGGGGAAACACTGACACTT